AACAAAGCACAACCAATAACTAAGGCATCTGATGGCAACTTGGAGAATAATACTGATGCCTTTTTTTCGTCCAGTGTTGTGCCTCTGCTGTTATAGGACCATAGAAGGCTCCATCCTCTGCAATTTGATGATTAATCTTTGTGTGTGTGTGTGTGTGTGTGTGTGTGCATGCGTGCGTGTCTAAAGTACACCTTGTTGTTAATATGCATAATTACTGATCTGATTATGACATTAACAACTATCCATACAAACTGTTTTCTTTGTCTGAAGATTTTTTTGTTTAGCTGTTTGATTTTGCTATCCAAGCTAAGATAGAGTTGGAGGCATGATTTTAAGTTAAGGAGATAAGTGTCCTTTTCAGACTATACCTAAAACTTTCTGTGGTGCTGTAAAATATTCATGTAGGATTTGAAGTAATTAATTATGGAATAATATGGGGAGCAATTGTGTGGCAGCATCCTTAACAAAATGCGTATAAATGTATAATTCAGTATTCATAAAAATACGGAAAAGTATGTTTTCATATAATAGTGCCTTCTGCTTCCTTCATGTTGCTATAATATGAATTTAAGCACCAGTCTCCTGTGTATATATGTGCATATATAAAACAACAAGTTATAGGTAGAGTAGGAACAGAATATTGCCCCTTTTATTGGGAAGGGCAGTCTTTTTGTTTGTTTTATTTTTTTACCGCTTACCCTTTCAACTGTCCCAACCATAATATCTTGGTGAAGCTTTCTTTGAAAATATCATTGATTAGCCTGTCTAGCTGTTGTCTATAGTGTGGGATTCACAGGAAACCCAATGAAAAAGTAAGCAACAAAAAGTTTAATACACATGAATGTTTATATATTAGGGTAAGAAAATTCCTTTCTTACAGGTGAGGAGTAGTACGTGGCCACTGCGACTGACCAAACTGAGTAGCTGTTTAGGGAGTCTGTAAGGGCTAAGCAGGAGTCCATGAATCACCTTGTGTCTGCTTTGAACCTGCAGACTGAGGGCATTCTTGGTGCTTTCCCCTTCACGTAGCTTTTTAACCCACAAGTGCGACAGTCCACTGGTCCCTGGGGGCACATGCTGTCACCAGGTTTCACCATTCCACAGGGACCCCCTGTGGAAACAAGCTGGAGTAAGCACCCCCCAGCCCTCAGAGGGGTAGACCCCATTTCCTGAAGACTGCTGCCTGGGGGCACATCACATGCTGTGGCCACAGGGCTGGTGGAGCATTCATAGGGGAGTAATGGGTTTCATGAGAACTTTTTTAGGGTTACTATTTTTTTTAACGTTGCACTTGTTTACTTGATTACGATTGTTTTCTTGTTTATCCTTTTAACCTTTCTGTTGTCCTGTTTAATAAAAGTTCTGTCTACTGTCAGAATTTTGGCTATGGCATTTAAAACAAAAACTGGGAGGGAAGAGCTGTTCACAGACAGCTGGAAGTGTTCCTCCACCCTTGCACCAGGAACTGGCATTGGTTTTGGGGAGGGGTGTCTTTAACAAACACTGCATGGTCTTTAACCATCACTGCGTTCTGTTGTGTTTGTGTCCCACTTTAGCTGCGCAAGGATTGATGCCATTTAAGCTTAATGTCCTCTTAACATCTCAGCTGTCCCCCATCAAAAAACACAGTAGTGATACTACTGCACAGGGATAGGAGCCTAGTGTGCCTGGCTTCCTGTCCAGAGCTTGAGATGAGCTATCTCATCACCTGCTTCTCCCACTAAAGCCCCAAGAGCATAGCTTAGCACCCAGCTGATCATTTAAATTCCTCATCCTAAGCTCTCATCATCTCACTCCCCTCCCCCACTACTGCCATGGAAGCATGGTTCAACACTTGGCTAAACATTTACCACCACAGCCCCCACCAACATGTTCAACCCCTGCCACTGCTCCCTGTCCACAATGGAGGTGACCACACAAGGGCATGAGTAGGGTTGGCAGTGTTTAATCATTCTACAATTCATCACCTTCAGCCCAGAAACAGCATGTCTCAAACAAGTGTCAGGTGACTGGCCTTCATTCAAGAATTTGCAGGCATGACGTCTCTAGGAGCTGGGTGGGGCTTATCTCCAAGAGCAGGGTCTGAGGCCGAAATTCTCCCTTGGCCTCACAGATGTTGTGTGGCATGCATACAGAGACCATGAACCTAGGTACATTGTTTTCTCTGGCATCCATGCATGTCCTCTGTTACCTCCAGCAAGCCTTGAGATGGTGGGAAGCATGCTGCATCCTGCACTTATCCTGCAGCTGCTGGGCTTGCAGGTGAACATTTCTCTCTGGGCATCCAGGGATCCAGTGAACAGCCCCATCAGCTAGTGGTGCAGTGGGTAGGCAGTGTCCCCGATTGATAGTGGGGGTACAGTCTTTCCCTCAACCTGGATGTGAAGAAGTCCAAGGGCAAAGTGTCTGTGCCAACAGTTCAGGGTGAAAGGGAGCTCCTAAATATCCTGGTGTCTTGCACCTTTCTCAGTGGCCGCTGTCCACAACTGCCTGAAGCATGATCAAGAAGTAACCCTTCTGCTTGTTGAATTCCTGAACGTGGTGCTCAGGGGGAAGGAGGAGGATGTGTGTGCTGTCCACATCCACATCCCCAATGCAGTTGGGTAACCTTAGGTTGCCAACCCATCCATAGTCTGCTGTGCACTGGCAAGGAGTTTGATGTGCAGGCCCATCATCTGTTGATTTTCCTCTTGAATCGTCTTTCCAGCCATTGACTAACCTGTGTTGAAATGGTGTGCTACAGATCGGAGACTGAAATGGCAATGCAGTTCTCTATGCATAAGAGGGTGTATGGTTGTTGCCTTGCATGTGTAGGGCAAGCTTGGTACAGATTTCCATGAGGATGTCACAGGACATGCAGAATTTCACATGCCACTGCTCGTTATCCCAGGTGGCCATGATGATCTGTTCCCAGCAGTCGCTGCTTATCAGCCTAGCCTGGAAATGCTGCTCTGTGGTTTGGAGCCACTCTCATTGACTGGGCACAACATGCTGACCTGTGAAGATCTTCAGGATTACAGCTATTGTTGCAAACTAGGGTCTGGATGTAGCCATGGACTTTCCTGTGAGGCAATGGCCTTGACCCCCGGGCTTTGGTCTGCCACCTCTCCAGTAGACTACAGGGGCAGACACAGATGACCAGAACCCCCCATCTGGGCCTAGGCACACACCTATTCCCTGTGACTGGAGTGGCCAGCCAAGGTCAGCTGAGTCTTTTCCATGGTGGGACAAGATGCAGCACAACCAATCCCATGATAAAAGTGATGACTGTTTATAGCCATAGATGGCTAATTCTTCCCAAAATCCTTGTTCTCTGAAGTGGTAGTGAATCTAAAATCATGGTTATATGCTGTACATAAAAGTGATTCCTGGTATTTTTATTTCCTTTGCTACCTTTCACATTCATCAGATATCCACCTTTTTATTTTGTTTTGGGTGAATATATCCAGTCCATCTCACAAGACCATTAAGTCTTTTAAATACTCTTTTCTTTTTTGAGTGCTTCTTTTCTTAGGTGGTGAGCACAGTACAGTATTGTGTTTATACACCAATATAACATTATGTAACATTTTATATAACATTCAGTGTGCTGTTTCCTTTATATCTAAAGTATATTCATATTTTAAACACTACTGTATGTAGTGTAGACTGCTTTGAGCCCTCACTATGGCTCCCCTTGATGATTTGTTTTTTTTCTTGAGAAAATGCAGCTTTATCTGAACTAACATTGCTAGTAATTTTTCATGAATTACTAACCTCATGTTACACAATTGGTTTCAAATTAACCTCTCACATTGTTCAAGTCAGCTGTTTTCATGCATTTTTACTTAGGAGGGAGGGCTAATTGGGATATGGGTGCAATGCTGAGATGGACTCTTCCTTGCTTATTTTATTTGGGAACTTTTTTGCGGAGTTCTATAGTTTGCTTGGCATGGAAATACTTTTATGAGCATTGGGTGGTTTTTTTGTTTGTTTTTGCTCCTTACCCTTTTACCTACCCCAGATGCCATATTTTGGTGAAGCTAATTTCCCTTTTTATCAAACATTTACATTCATGCTCTTGTTCCTCAATATTCTCATTATGTCACACTTTGACCACCTGTAGTGGCATGCCTGCATTGCATTGGATTATGCCATGAAAACCAAAACCATCTTACTTACTTGCTCCTGCTTTATACATGCAGAGTACTGTAAAAATGTGACTTTGCCACTTTTTGGCACATACTTAGTGACACTTTCAGGTTGTCTGTCTTGGTTTTACTTGTTAGTACTTGCTACATCACATTTTTTTCAACACTCAGTTTATACAGAACAGAAACAAGTATGCAGCAAAATTCCTTAGCACTGTTTGACATGGTATAGACATGCCCTAAGAAAGACATTGCATGAACATGCGGCTCTTTTTTGATTCTGACTGCTGAGCACTGCACCAAACTATCTAACCAACTTAATCTTACAGTATTATAGTCATCTTACAAGAAATATTCATATTTTCTTAATAAAAGCTACGTCTCCTATGGATGTTTCTTTTGGAGAGTGGACCCAAAAATGGTTACCTTTACGATGCTCAAATTGCCATTGAGATGAATTATATTCTATTCCCTCTGTGGTGAGATCCAGCAAAGATTCCAATTATTGTAGTGTTTTTTTTGTGCTGCAGTTGCTTATCCCCTAGAAGTTGAAGCAAACTTTTTCCCTGAAAACAACTAAGCAAGCATCTTTTGGTACCTGTCTATCATTACTAACCAAATTTGAACCAGTTATGCAAAGTTGAAATGCTTCTGTGATACTTCACCAAGTGTGTGGATGTACCAGCTGTCATATTCATATAAAAGATAATGCTTCTTCTCTGCAATGGCTAGTATCACTTTGAGATTTTAGTTTTTGTTCTTGTAAGACTTGTCATTTCTTTTAATGAAAAGACTATTAAGTGCTATTTATATTGCATAAATTTGAACTTTAAGTGAAAAATTTTTCAAACTATGAAATTGTTTCTACAGTACCGCGAGGTAGACAAGCTGGCGATAACTTTGTTGAATCATCCATTCTCGATGCCATCCACCAAGTTGACAGTGCAATTAACTCCACAAGAAGAAATTTGTTTTCACAGTAAGAATGTATTTTATCTTTGCTCACAGAAATCTTTCACATTTCTATTCTGCTTAGCTACTGTTCATTTTTTTTAAATTACAAAAAAAGATACTGTAATATGATTGTCAGAATGTGCTTTTTCTTGTAGCTAGGCTGTTGTTTCTTAATAGCAGTCATTATCAGTTCAGTTTTCTGAAAGATTATATTGTTTGACATAGAATAAAATCAGAAGATACGCTTTTTACTATTTCACTTTCTTGGCCTCTTGGTTTCTAGGACCATTTATTTGTCATGCGGCTATTTTCTGTGGCCTGCAGCAGTCTTCTAAACAGTGGACTGATCTGGCCTTGGACTCTTTATTAATAGATTAGGAAACCTTTTCCTTACCAAAGAAATAAGGCATGATAAAGATCTCCATTTTTATTTTATCCTTTAGTCATAGCCCTAATCCCTAGAGAACTAAGGCAAAGCATTTAGTTTAGTGATCCCTATGCTTTCTTCATTGAATGATGCAAAAGGGAACAAAGTTGTAGACAAGCAGCTTAGGCTGTTTGTAGACAACACTTTAAGGAGGGCTTAAAGAAGGTTAAATGCCTTTTGCACTGCTTTAATGGCATTGCTGTTAGCACATTCAGTGGCGTATTATGAGTTAATTCCAGCCGCTGTAGCACATTTGGCAGCGTAATGCTCCTTAAATGACTTTGGGATGCAGAAAATGACTTTGGGGTGTTGCAAAGTGAAACATCTCCGAGGAGTTTTAGTTTCCTACCCTACAGCCATGGAGAGAAGCACTGGGCTCTGTGCGGCTCAGGGGTTCTGCAGGCAGACTGTGCAGGCAATCCAGCAGCAGCCCGGGAAGGCAGGCTGCACAGAAGGAGGAAAAAAAAAAAAGACAAGTAGTGAGCCTGATCTTTTTTTCCCCCCACAAAGCCTGCCTGCCTGCCTCCCTGAGCTGTGCGGGGGCTTGGTGCCCCCCCCCCCCGGACTACCCAAGCGGGGGGTGGGGGAGGAGGCGCCACTGCCATGGAGGAAAGCACTAGTTCCCTTCCCCCACAGCTCAGGGACCGCTCTGCTCACCAGCAGCTCACACTCCCCTCCCCACCGCTGGAGAGGCAGGTAAGGATCAGGCTCTGATACTGGTGTACACGACACGGGGCTTTACTTCACTCTAAATTGAAGTGGTGTTTTTAAAAAAACACCACTTCAGTTTAGGGAGAATTAAACCTCTGTGTACAAATGGCCTTAGTTGTTAAAAGCTGAGACAGATGTAGAAAAACACCAAAGGGACTGGCAGTGCTAAGATGAGTTAAAGGAGTACCTTTGTTCTCTTGATGTCATCAGAGTCTCATAGTTCTTTTCATGAAGTGTTGAAACTCGCAGTATTACATTCTTTTAACATTTAACTGCAAAAGATAAAAGTAGTTATGTGGTGTTACAGCATATCTGGGTGGTGGACCCTCTTGTTCATAGTAGCCAGGAAGTTCTAGTAATTCAGAAGGCAGGGCAGGGTAGCACCTTACAGACCAACTGGTTCAGATGCATAAGATTTTTTAGGCAACAGTCTACTTTGTCATATGCCATCTGACTTTGTAGGGTGTCACCTATGAAAGCTTGTACCTCTCTGAACCAGTTTACGTCTAAGGTGCTACCCTGCCCTGTCTTCTGCTTGACTTCAGATGGCACAATTAACTACCTCTCTTTGATTTTGTGGTAAACTTCAGACAGTTATGGGTAAATAACTGGTTCCTCCTTTTTTTGAGGAGGAGCAAATAACTTTACACAACTTTCTTTCTACATGCTTTCCCCCTTACCAAAAATAAATTAAACAGGTGGTAGGAGGTCTGATGCTTTCTCCTTGAATATATGATGTATGAACAATTTTGTATGAGTTGGATGATGGGGAGAGAATGGAGGCAGGTCATATTTGCAATCGTATCAGTGTAGTAGATCAAAACACAACAGCTTTTTGTTGTGTTAATAGTCTATCACTCGATTGGCTTTACTTTTATAACCTCTCAAAAACACCCTTGTGAAGATGGAATGTTGTGCTTATTATTGTCAAAGGCTTCTACTATCATTAGCCTGAAAGTATTTCTATATTGCAGTCAAACATATGATGGCAGCTCATGTAGACTTCACCTAACCTTGAAATACCTTACTTGGGTACTGCTACTAATGTAGCCACAGCAACACAAGCTCAGCAAGGCTGCTGCATCAGTATTTCTGCTGGACTGAGCCACACGTTGCTGTGGCTACACCTTTAGCATATCCTCAGTGAGCCATTTAAAACTAGCTCAGAGTATGTCCACACGAGCTACAGAAACACCTTTGTCTATAGTATAGATCTTGTATGCTATCCTGTGTTCCTCTACCTTAAGACCTGTAGCAGGCTACCTTTATTGCTTTTACTTTCAGTTGTTCAATGTCTGCAAAGATATTCTGAAAATATCTCTGCCCAGTAATTAGTTTTTTATATATGGGAAAGACAGCCATAAGCAAGAACTGAAGAAAATAACAAATGGTAAAGGAGAAAAATGAGATGAAGAGAAAAGGGATGATTTTATTTAACTATCACTCTTTTTTCAGAGTTATTAGTGACTCATTAGCTGTAGCTTGGCTACCTCTGATGCATAAACTTCAACACATGCTCCTCTTTTTTTGCAGGCATCCCCAAACCCCCACTGACCTGCTGGCTCAATTCCGCTACCCACGGGATCCTTTCACTATAGAGACTGCAAGAGCAGGGGAGATATTTGAGCAAACTCTTCAATTGATTCAGGAACATGTTAAACAGGGTCTCAGTGTTGATTTTGATGGAATAGGTGGGTACACATAAACACTGGTATCTATTCTGTCTGCAGTTTATTGTGGTACCCCACTAGTGAAACTTGCAATATCATCTTACATTATTATAGTGTTTTTCACCCAGCGTCTCTCTGTCTCAATTTTATATGAAGCATACTGCAGATAAGGTAGACTATTATGTGACCGCTGCTATCATTGAAGATAGTAGCCATTCTGTGCCGGTCTCACTGTACACATAAATGAAACACCATTTATGTAGTTGAAACTACTGGATAAACTTGGACAGAACAAAGTACCAGAGCTGGAAATTAACCGTCACATGTGGTTTAACAGCTTTACATTTTTTAAAAAATGCTTCAGCTACCACAAGTGTTCAGGGTCTTGTTTTCTTGTCCTCAAACACATGGCTTTCCTTTAGCACAATTTCCTTTTTACAGTTTAGGACCTGAGTCAGAACTGACTGAACATGGTCTAATGCCATCTTATAAGTTTCTAATTAAAGCCCAGTGATGCAAGGGAGAACTGGGCTAGCGGGATTACCATTTCTTAGATGCGAAATTACAACTTGTATAAATTACAGCTTGAAACAGACCTATGAACTATTATATTAATATATTTACAGTATTTTACTTTGTACTTTCCTTTACATAGTACAGGAGAATCAAAAATTGAATTCTCCAATCCTCTTTTAAATATTGCCATAATTTTCTAGTGCAAACTCCTATTCATTTTTCAATATACTTCCATCTCTCTCTTTTTTATTCTGTTTTACTTTCAATTTTACTATCTTCACTATTCAGACTTATTTTCTTTACTAATGTTCAAATCCATCTTCTGTAAGTAAAGAAATATGTCTGTGATAGTTACTATGTCTCAAAAAATGTAGAGCAATTTAGTTTGCTACAAAGGTGCATACAATTTTAATATTCTGTTGTTGTTGCTTCAGAAATCTGCAATATAAATTCTACCACATTAGTAGAGACTAATAAAATACTGTGCATGTTTAGAAAACTGGCATTTGAATTTTCCAGGCACTATATTCTATTCTTAACTTGAAGACTCAATTATGTCCAACATTTCCAACCCATTTGTGCTGGTTAAAAACTGAATATTATAATATAACTTCTTTGTTTCTCACGAAGATTCTACTTTGCTTTGATTAGTTGCATGATAGCAGATAAAAACACCACCACCTTTATTTCTGACATGATTAGTATCTGAAAGAGAAAATGGCCTGTGGTCAAAAGCTCTTGCCAAACTGAAGTAGGCAAAATGTAAATGCTAACATAAGTTAGGTAGGTTCCTTTTAATACATATTAGATGTGTTTATCAGTATTCTATTTCAAGCATGTTATATGCATCTTGAAAGTCAATGCAATACATTATGTTGGCACATAAACAACAGCATAAACCTCCAAGGTCTGGTGCCTGATTTTGTTATCACAACTTGAGCAGGTTGCAGAGCCAACCCATCCCTACATTTTGTCCTTACTGCTAGAATTTTTACCTTCAAAAAGTATAAGGAAAAATAGTCTCTGTTGTTTTGTACTTTAATTTTAATATGCCATCAAATGTACTGAAAGGGATAAAACCCACAATGGAATGAGACTTTCAGAGTTACCTAGAGGCTAAATGGATTCCACCTCCTTAAAGGTATATGCTATGTTTGATTTTTAATTTTATTCACTAATGGTTCTTTAGAATATAACACTAGTGGGTTGCACTTGCATAAATGCATTTTCCCATACAAAGTGTTTATGATTGGGCTTTTTTTCTGTAACTGTGTGAAAGTTAGAGTACAAGTAATACGCAGGCAGGAATGACATGCTATGTAGTCCCACTTTAGCTGCTGTTTGAGTCCTTTGGCTATAATATTTGTTGTGAACGCCTCCCTCTGGAATTCTGAGTTAAAGACCAGGGCAAAAAGAGTGATGTGCAACATTCATTTTCTCTAACCTTTATGGCTAAGGTAGTATTTTGCTACATTGCCAGTAGTGCAGAGTCAGCATCATCTTTTTCTGAGAGTATACAGGTCTTTGGATTCTTGTCCATATGAATCCTGGGGTGTAATTCTCCTACTTATTGATCCACTTTTAGGTTTTTACACCTCAAATATGCAGATCATATACCAGTCCACTGGGCCACCTGCATTTCTGCCTTTTTAGAGTCTGTTATAAATTATATGAAGATTGATAGCCTTATTAAAGCGGTGGACATTTATTAACAAATGGAACTTCATTTTGAAGAGAATTGTTTAAGAAATAAACCACCTGTAGACACACAGGGTATCTCCCCATGAGTATGCACATGCAGGGGTGTGCATTTCCCACAGGACAAATAGCAGTGGCACATGTTTGTGTTTGACCCTAGGCACACTTCTGCACGTGTGCTCTGGCACGTGCAGCCTTTCCTGGGGCCCTGGGGGCATCCAGGTAAGGAGGGCATCTCCCGATATAAAAAATAAAAAAATAAAAACCTGCCACACTGCAAATGAGCAGCATAGTGCATGGGTGGCAGCAAACGGCTTTGAGGCACCACAAATCACATGTGCGTGCTTGTGCGGATGTACCTACATAGTCTAATCTAATCTTATTCTCCCATACAGAATGCTTAGATGGGTTTCTTTCCTTGAGGACACTGCGTAATTCTTGGGATTTATCATGGCATCCATTTGTTTCTCAGTTTTTCCACCAGGCTTTCCTACTCTCAGGGAAATTGTGTTGAACTCTCATTCCCCTTGTGTGTCCCTGGCCTCTAATTACCTTGGTCTTCAAAGTCATTCGGGACAACATTCCCTTTGACTAAAACTGTTTTATTGGAGTTGGAAAATCTAAGAGAATTCCTCCCATCCTCGTGGCTCATTGTTCAGACAGTGTGACCCATTTAGCCTTAGTAATCTTTCACTCATCTGGTGACTACACTTAACCTGTAAAAGGTATCCTGTTACCTGACATTCTAATTCTTACATACATTCATCTTATTTTATATACATACATACATATATCATCTAATAAATAAAACCTGCTTTGGGGTACAGATGAGCCTTTGCCACTTAGCATTTCACTATGTGTCACAAAAATGCATTCAGTAATTTGTTGAATGCCCCAGACAAGACTGGTAAGGAACAGATTAGTAGTGGAGACATAAACTTCCATTTCTAGATCATTATTTCAAATGCAGCTCAGTAATAACTGAATATTTTTAGCAGCTGATATTGGTGTCATTGACTTGGTGCTCTCTGAAGAAACATTCGTGGGGAACCTATTTTTCATCACATTGGACAAGAATTGGGGTAGTGTCAGCCATTCCCAGGGTATGTTTCAGGGGCAACTGGGGGTGTTGGTTGTAGCTTTATTCACCTAAGGATATAGGCAGACAAGGTTTTTTGGGTAAATTTGATATCTTTTATTAGACTAACTAAACAGTTGGAAAAGTTGTTGTTTGCAAGCTTTTGGTCATAAACACCCTTCTTTAGGGGTGAATGAATATTTACTTCCATATCCATAAAGGCTGGAGGCTATCATGAGGACTTCAGGGTTTTAGTAACTGATTGTGGGGCCTAAATTGGAGGACTCCGATTTCCAGATGGCATTAAATCCTATCTTTTGAGGAATAATGGTTCATGTCGTGTCTTCTCACCACACGCTGAAACACAATTGCAAATTTATAATTTGCTGTCTCTTCTTTAAATGTTGAAAATCCTTCAGTGCAGGACCATTAACAGTAAAAGCATACACACATGATTTGCTGAGATTTACTAGACAATCATTTACCTTGTTAGTGTGCAATAAAAATTATAAATGTCAAAATACAAGCATGATATATTATCCATTAAGGCCAAATGTAATGTGAATTTCCCTTCTCTCTCAGGACATAGATTACAGGGTTTAAGGAAAGGACAAGATTTCCTAATCCTGTGACCTATGGGTTAATGGAAACCTATATGAGCAAATATTCTTTTGGAGGGTATCCTGTTGGAAGGACCCTCCTTTAAGAGTTCTGTCACTAATGACTCACTGGGCACATCTACACAAGATACTAAATGTGCAGAAGACTAATTCTGCTGTGCGTTAGTGCAATGTGGCAAAAGCTGTGCTAATGAGCAGTAGAATTACAGTAGTCTACTGCACTACAGTGTCACAAAAAAGCCATGCGCGGACACTACTGTGCAGTAGCACTGGTTACTGTGCATTCAGTTTAGTACCTGTTATTTCAGGTACTAAACAGTAACCACGGCACACTAATGAATGTGTAGATGTGCCCACTGTATACCTGATTTAGAACTATATCTGCTGTAATATTGCTGTGGATGTTTTGGGGTACAGATGAGCCTTTTCTTTGTGGTGATTAATACTTGTAATCTTGCTCTGTGGGCATTTCTGCCCTTTGTTTTTTTAGTGGAATCTTATCATCTCCCTCACTTTTGACTGGCCTAGCAGGTGCAACATCCTCCATTTACTTTAAAAAGAATATTTGGGATTTAGCCAAGCTATAGAATCTTCTCTAGGAGCTATAACTAGCTGAGCAATACAGTGATGAAGAATATATTGATGGAAATCAGTGCAAATTATCAGTAAGAGCATCATAAGTAAAGAGAAGATAGGATAAAAACCAAAACCAAGTTCCTATGTATTTTATCTCACCTAAGTTTGGCTGTTTCTTGGATGATTTGGGTTGACCCTGACTTATACCTAAAGCCACTTGATATGTTATGGCACGAACTAGACTACAGCCTTTTTTTCCTGAACTCTCCCCACCCACCCTACCTCCTGTCCCAAAAAAGGCTAAGCTTTTTAATTAATTTGAAGCTTAATTTGAAATGTTCCCTATTTTGCTCTCCTGTTCCTTCTTGTCCCATCCTGTGCCTCCACACCTGCCTCATGGTCCATCCAGGTGCTAAATTATGTAGCTAAGATTTGTAGGACTTACCTCCACTCTGTCTGTGTATGACTGTCTGTATTGAGTAGTCTTTGATTTCAGCAGTCCAAAGATAGCTTAAACCAATTTATCTCCCTAAATACCCTTTATCCAGCAATACTAACAACTGTGTCCTCAAAGATATAGATAATGTTCATAAAACCTAATATATATAATGCATATCATGCTCAGCACAGATATGTAATATTGCAGCCATCTTTTGTTAAATGCTAGGTGAGTGACCTTATTTGCCATTGATAGTTCTTGTACAAAGCATATGACATCTGACATGATGAAGAGGAAGTCTTATGTACTATTTTAAACATACTAGCAATAAAAAACACTGAAGATTTGCTGTTACTAGAGATCTCATTCTGTTCTTAATTTGTTTTGATTTTATTGCTCTGCTCTTACAAATAAAAGGACAATTTCCTTCCATATTCACAGCCTCTAGATGGCATTTTGTTTTCATCTGCCAAATGTTCTAAATGGTTGAAAATCTTTGTTGTGCAGTGCTTTAGTGTAGGATCCAGATGTTCAGCACCTGTTTTTTTCAGTAAGGAGAAGTTCTAGATAAGCTTTTTTCACAGTTAACTAACAGATGTATTTACTAAAAAATCCCTTCAAACCAACCTTTGAGTTTGTTGCCATGGTACTTTTTACCTTTAATTCGGAAGATTTAAAAGGTGAGAGCAAAAGAAGAATTGTGTGGGTTGATGAAGTTCAGATTATGCCTGTTATTTCCATACCAAATAGTTAATATTGTTCTTTGTGATATTCAGGAAGCTTCCAGATAATTTGCCTTGAATTTTTTTCAAGTAATTTTCCTGTAATAAAGTATTGGCTATTTTAAAATAAATACCAAAGTTTTTATGGGCAAATTTCAATATCCCTTTAGCCTCACTCCTCTTATAATGACAGTATTATTGCTTCTGTCATTATAAAAGAAACTGTCATTCAAATGCATTGTGGTGTGTTCATACTTAGTAGAAATGAATCAATATCATCACTGCTGTGAAATGGAAGAATTGGCCTTTCTAGATACTCGTTATTAGTTGCATGCTGTCACTTTCATCATTTAGAGTTAAACAGAAGCAGGGAGCGTTTCTAAAGGGGTGATCATTACATCCCAACATGCAAGCGTTTCGCTGTGTTTCCTGCTTTTCACTTGGCTCTTCTGGGGCAAGGATCTAAGACAGGGGTGGGCAAGTATTTTTGGTGGAGGGCCACTTAGAGTTTTGGCAAGCCATTGAGGGCCACATGACAGGCAGCCAGGGGCAGATAAATATTAATTTTCTAAATATTTTAGGGGCCCCACGGGCCAGATAGAATGGCCTGGCGGACTGCATCCAGCCCCTGGAACACATTTTGCCCACCCCGATCTAAAAAGGAAAAAACAAAGGCGTTGCAGTGGTGATTTATGAAAGGCAAATTGCTTTTTCTTTTTAACTCTATTGGCTTGATTAATTCTGGAAAGATGCCTATAAGTGGCAAAGTTGCTTTGCTGTTCTTTTTAGATCTTCTGGTGCTAAGAACTTGGACCTAAGAAAAGGGGTTTGAACAGATGTGGAGTTGGAGCTTTATGTTGGTAAATCTTCACTCTGGCTTTTAGAGCTAAAATCCAGCACTTTTTAACAAATGTACTATAACGAAATGTCATAGAATCATAGAAAATTAGCATTGGAAGGGACCTCAGAAGGTCATCTAGTACAAGCCTCTGCTCAAAGCAGTACCAACCCCAACTAAATCATCTCAGCAAAGCCTTTATCTAGCCAGGTCTTAAAAACCTCCAAGGATGGAGACTTCACAGCCTCTCTGGGTAGCCTGTTCTAGTGCTTTCTTACCTTTCTTGTGGGAGAGTTTTTCCTAATATCTAACTTAAAACTCTCTTCCTGCAACTTGAGACCATTGTCTTACAGTGGTGCTTAACTTCTGGCCCACAGGTTAGATCAGGGGTGGGCAATTATTTCATCTGGAAGGCCACTTAATAAGTTTTGGGGACCACATCCATCTCTGTCTGTCTCGTCTCTGTCTCTGTTTCCCTCCCTCTCCTTCCCTCCCTTCCTCTTCCTCCAGAACCAGGCTGAAGCTGTAGTTCACTAGGAGCCCTTATGCTCAGCTGTAGATCTTCCAGTAGTGTCACTGCTGACTCTGATGCTTGCTTGGTGCAGCAGAAGCTCTTGCCTGGGTCCACAGCTGAGCATTGGGGCTGCTAGCAAACTACAGCTTCAGCCAGGCTCTGGAGGGAGGGAAGAAGCAGAAAAGAAGAGAGGAGAGGGAGATGGTGATGCTCGCCCAGCATGACAGCAGCTCCTGCCTGGGTCTATGGCCAATGCTGCTGACAGATTTTGGGTTGAGGCTCCAGACTGGAGCTTCCACTGCACTGGCAGGTTCTGCATCTGGGATTCTGAACCAGCCTGTGGCATCCACAGCTGATGACGCTGCCCTCTTACTGCAGCAGAATCCCCACGCAGGTCCATAGCAGATGCCTGATGCTGCTGGGTAGAAGCAGTCCTACCCAACGCCCTGGCACCATGTGATGGTTGGAGCTGCCCGCAGATCAAATCCAATGAGTTGGTGGCCGTCCACCTGTGGGCCAGATCAAATTTATTGGTGGGCTAGATCCAGCCTGCGGGCCATATTTTGCCCACTCCTGGGCTAGATCCTGACCAGGAGGCTATGTCATCTGGCCCATGAGTCTCCCCACAGGTCCAAAAATTTAGTGGGGGAGTGGTAACAGTGTTTACTTGCAGCTCTCCTGCTGTTAGATTTTCAGACCCAGGGACAGCCCTGCAGCTGGATGATGTGGCCTCACACGCAAGATCATGCCAGTGAATGGTGGGCCCAGCCTGTCAGGTCCCCCTGCAGATGGATCTGATGCACTGATGGTGGCTGATTCACATCAGCCTCACACTAGGTCATGATCATGGATTGATGCCAGACAGGATCAAGCTTGCAGGTTGGCCCCATGCAACTCAACTGACCCATGGGGACAGAAAGGTGCGCACCACTGTGTTTTGGATGTTTTTAGTTGTTAGGGAATGGACTTAATGTCCATTGAGCTACAATGGAAATACATGCAAGAGTTCTAGACAACTACTTTCAGTATCATTTATGATGCTATCTTATGATTAATGCTGGTTATTGTAATCTGGTTTATGGAATTGTAGAAGGTAGAGATGGAGAAGATATATGCCAGTCTGCGAATCATTCCTGCAGTTTATTTCTCAGTGCTTTATTCAGATCACTGTTAAAGGGCAGTGAGTGATAGAGACCTACTTTTACTAGAAGCTGCCTCTAGTGGCAAAAGTAATATGTTCTTCTTTTAAAAAAAAATGTTTTCTAATATGCTGCTTATATGTTTCTTTGCCTAATTGCCTTCTATCACTTCTAGTTATAAACACACCTCCTATGTGCTACCCTGAGGCATTCTTTCTCGTTAATGTTTACATCATCCAAATATTTGTAGACAGTTCTAATATTCCTTTTAGCCTTTGTTTAGCCAAGCTCTTATTTCTTTTAGTCTTTCTTCGTATCTCAGTCCCTTTGGCTCTTCAAATGATGCTGGTGGTACTTTGAATTTTCTCCAGTTTATCTACATCCTCCGTCTTTGAAATTCCAGAACTAAAAGAAATATTCTGGGTTTGGTCACACTGGGGATTATCATCTCCTTACTATTTTGACACGATTTCTCTGCCTTAAAAACAAAAATTGCATTAATGTTTTTTGCTGTTGCTTTGCATTGGTAACTCAGGGTTAATTTGTGCTAGTCACTAATCACTCTTTGTTGTCTTTCAGCACTACTGCCTTCCAGAAATCTTCTTCCCATTTAAAAGTATTCCACAGTCTGCCCTCTCATCTCCTTGGTATTTTAACCCATATTCCTCTGGTTTAATATCATTTAAAACTTGATGACATGAATCTTGTCCATTATTTAACCTATTGTATGGAGGAGGGTTTGTGGTTGTTTTTTTCATTTCTGTATATTACTTTTCATGCTCTCCACAGCATCTCCCACTACAACTGTTGAATCTTTCACTGTGGCTGTAACTTTACAACCCAGTCCTCCCATTTCAATCAATAGGTTTGCCTTTGGCTAAAGTAGGAGCAGATCCCTAGCCTATCAGGAAATCTGTGCAGCTTATCTCCTGACAAACATTTTACAAAACAGTTGCTTTTTATCCAGGTACAGCCATGATACTAGTATTGAGAATCTTAAGAATTTCACATGGATTTTGAGTTGTTTTTAAAATACAAGATCAATTAATTTCTTCAAATGTTGTGTTTCAGAATTTCGCTACAATGATCTGGTTTCCCCACACTACCTCAGTCTGATTGCCAATCTCTCTGGATGTACAGTTCATAGACGCTTCCCGGACTGCTCTAACATCTGTTTCCATCAAAAATACAGAAGCTACGATGGAACATGTAACAATCTACAGTACCCAATGTTGGGAGCCTCTCTGACTGCTTTTGAACGGATCCTTAAACCTGTGTATGAAAATGGCTTTAACATACCCAGGGGTTTCAATCATGACACTTTGTATAATGGTTATCCCCTTCCACTACCACGGCTTATCTCAACAGAAATGGTTGGTACAGAGACTGTAACTCCTGATGACAGATACACTCATATGCTCATGCAGTGGGGCCAATTTTTAGACCATGACTTGGATCAGACGGTGCCTGCCCTGAGTATGTCTCGTTTTTCTGATGGGCAGTCTTGTAGCTCAGTGTGCACTAATGATCCGCCTTGCTTCCCTGTCATAATTCCTCAGAATGATTCTCGAGTGACAAATTCGAAATGCATGTTCTTTGTTCGCTCAAGCCCAGTTTGTGGTAGTGGAATGACCTCTTTAATTATGAATTCAGTCTATGCAAGAGAGCAAATTAATCATCTGACATCTTACATTGATGCCTCTAATGTCTATGCAAGTTCTGAGAGGGAGTCAGAAGAGCTAAGGGATAAAACAAATCACCATGGCCTCCTCAAAGAAGGCCTACTGGTCCCATCTTCTAGAAAGCACTTATTACCATTTGCCACAGGTCCACCAACTGAATGCACAAAAGATGAAAATGAAAGCTCTATACCATGCTTCCTGGCAGGAGACCACAGAGCCAATGAGCAGCTGGGTCTAACAGCTATGCACACCTTGTGGTTCCGTGAACATAATCGCATAGCGAGGGAACTCTTGAAAATGAACCCACATTGGGATGGAGATACAGTTTATAATGAAGCCAGAAAGATTGTTGGTGCAGAGATGCAATATATTACATATAGTCACTGGCTACCGAAGATCCTTGGCAATCATGGCATGAAGATGATGGGCGAATACAGAGGTTATAACCCTAATGTGAATGCAGGGATTATTAATGCTTTTGCAACTGCTGCTTTTAGATTTGGCCACACATTGATCAATCCTGTTCTTTATCGTTTGAATGAGAGCTTTGGAGAAATTCCACAAGGCCACCTTCTTCTACACAAGGCTTTCTTTTCTCCATTTCGAATAATCCGGGAAGGGGGTATTGATCCACTCCTTCGTGGCCTTTTTGGAGTTGCTGGTAAAATGCGAGTACCTACTCAGCTTCTGAATTTGGAGTTGACTGAGAGGCTTTTCTCCATGGCACATTCAGTGGCTCTGGATCTGGCAGCTATGAATATCCAGAGAGGGCGTGACCATGGGATTCCTCCATATGTTGACTATAGGGTTTTCTGTAACTTAACTTCAATTGAGAAGTTTGAGGATCTCCAAAATGAAATTAAAGATGCAAAAGTTAGAGAAACACTGAAAAAGTGAGTATGAAAGTACTTGTACTGTTTGTGATACATGGCATACTGTATCTGAATGTCTCAGCGCAGGCCATAACATTTCTCAAGTTTTAAAATTGCCATATACAAAATTTTCCTTAATACTTTAATTGTGTGTACCTTCTCCACACACTTTCATACCAACTTTTTCCAGCAATATTAATGATGTTTGATCAGATCTCTATTGTCCTCTTTTCCACTAAGGATCTCCAAAAACCTTTTTATCCTTCTCTCCAAAAATTGGCACTAACTGTACTTGCCTGCTTTCTCCCTTAGGTGCACCGCCTACCCCTTCAACCACATTTTGCTATTTCCTGACCTCTCTTACACCATCTTTCATACTGTCCTCTTCTCTCTTTAAATTGTTATCACCTTCTTCTTTCTGTCATTTAAAGTATGAGAGATGACAACTTTCCCCCATCCTCAAAAAAATCCTCAACCCTACCTAACTTTTAAGATATTCTCCTCCTCCTTTCATCCTGTCTTCGTTCAACATAGGGGAAGAGCCATGTACAGCTGTTTCAGTTTTTTTCTCCATTTCCACTATGGATCCTTCCAGTTTAGCTTCTGTTCTTTCTAATCCTTCAAAACTGCTTGCTCCATGGTGTAAACAAGTTCTTCTTAATCATTTCTCAAAAGCTCTACTTCATTTTTATCCACCTTAGTTTCCTAGCTGAACCTGACAATGGTGATCTTGCCCTCCTCAACAGCTTCTTTCTTAATTCTTGAGATACAGCCCTCTTCAGTTTCTCAGCTTCCTTCCCTAGCTTGAAGATTGCTACGCAGTCTCCTTTATATGGTTTCTTCTTCCATTTCCCTTTTTACTGTGGGTCTCAAAGAGCTCTGTTATAGCCCTCATTTTATCTTTGCATTTATTCTGTGGGTGATGCCACTTGCTCATGTAATTACAGCTATTATCTGAGGGCTGGGTTGGTACGGCACTGAGGTGCACGGTTGACTACCCAGAGTTTGTAAGCTCAAAGCCACAGCAGAAGTGCTTATGGCACGTCCCTGTCAGATTTCAACAAATCCGCAAATGCTGCTAAATAATTTGTGAGAAGGACATGAAAAAAACCGGAAGCTATAACAAATCCCAAATTAATTTACAAAGAATGAGCAGCTCAATATCATATAAGCGGGGGTATCAACAGAGGTTCTGTTAGGATCTGTACTGGGTAAAGTACTGTTTATGTTGAGCAGGATAGGAGACAGTTATAAAGGACAAGATTAAGAATCAATGACCTTGAAAAATTGGAAAAATAGTCTGAGGTGCATGGGTGAAATTCAGTAAGGACAAATGCAAAACACCACAGTTAGAAAGGAAAAGTCAAATAGACAAACACAAGTGGTTAGACTGCAGTACTGTTGAAGATGATTTGAAGTTGATCATGGATCACAGAGTGTGTACAGCATAATTTTGCTGCAATAAAAGTTAATAACTTAGTGGAAATTAGGTACAGTATAACCTCATAAATCTGGTGTGCTCAGGACCATGCACCTGCTGGATATTTGAAAATGCCTGATTTGTTTTTAAACCTGAGTGGCCGGTCACAGAGTGGAGGGGGGTGGGGGGAGCGATGGCTGGTCCCGGGGCAGCGGCTGCATGCAGAACGGCAGCATGGGGTTGTGGATGGTGGCAACAGCTGTTGCATGCAAGCTTCCCCCTCTGCATCGGGCGGGCAGAGAGAGTGGCGGCCAGTCCCAGAGCAGTGCTGGATTTTGAGAATTCCAGGTTTTTGAGATCAGGATTTATGAGGTTATAGTGTATTATAATTCTTATGATTATTATTGTAGTCCTATTAACAGGAGCACCATGTACAAGTCTACTTTCTCAAAACCTCACTTTGACAACTGTCAAAGCATCACTGTCAAAGCCTCACTAACTCTGCCCAGTTTGGAGAAATTGTCCTCCAGAGGATAGCAACAAAAATGATTAGTGGTCTAAAAACATGGCATGTGAGGCAAATTGTTGGAAGAACTCGGATTATTTTAGAGAAAAAAGATATTATAATGGTCTTCAAATATAAGAAGGGCTGGTATAAAGAGAATGTTGATTAATTGTCCTGTGATGTACACTGTGGGGAAGGACAAGAATAGGCTTAAATTGCAGCAAAGGAAAATTGTGTTATGTTCTAGTTATGAAGGTGGATAAGCACTGAACAGGTTGTGGAATGTCTGTCACTGGACTTTTTAAAGTGTCCAATGTTTTAAGTGGCAAACATTTATTTGGGATAGTTTAAAAAGAAACGGTACTTTCTTGATCAGAGGATTGAACTAGGTGATTTCTCCAGGTTTCTTCCAGCCCCAATTTTCACTATGGTTGGTACTAGTTGGCCTCTCTTAGACACTATATGTGACAGCTGAAAATTATGTCTGTGTGATAAAGGTGCTTGCTGAAGGCTCTATGAAGATTAGACCAAGTGTTTTTCTGTCATTTGTTCAGATATTAAGTTATATGTTGTTGTTACAGCCTAATTAAAGTCAAAGATATAGTGAGGCCTTGTATGTAGTATGAGGCCTAGTAAAGTTAGCAAAGCCTTATAGAAGTGGTAGTAAGCCCTGTGGCGTAGTAAAAATTAACCTTATCAAAAGAATGCAAGGCTTGTACTGCTATTGGTCAGTCTAAGGACAGCTGAAGTAAAGAGAATCTGAATGGCTGTAAGTTATCAGCATAGCTCAAAAGTTATGAATTGGCTGGCATATCTGGAAGTCATTTAGAAGGAAGATGCAGCTCTATAAAAAAAGCTCCTGATTTAAGATTAGCTGCTGGCCTGGATTTGGTGGGCCTGTGGATCTCGAGGAGCCCATGGACTGAATACCAGGGTCCTTCCCGGTACCTCTTGGACAGCGCTGATTGGGGACGCCTGACTTCACTGAGCTTTGCAGAAGAGAAACTTGTCGTACATCAGGCATCAGAGGGGACTGCCGATAATTTGCCGACGCAAATTATCATTGTCTGTTCTTGTTTTGTTATTTATGCGTAGTTGTGTGTTTGTTAAATCAATAAACCTTTCCTACCTTTCTACTCCCGACCACACTCTCAATCCTGAACCCTCCACAGGTGGCTGGGACAACTATACTTAAGTGATTACCCAGTTAATCACACTGTAAATAATAACCCTGCCACTCATTCAAGGAATGAATGTACTGATAAAATGGGAAACCAGCCCCAGAAATATTCCTCAAAATGAGTGTAATATTTTCATGGTGGCTGGTTTCCATGGGGCACAGTAGTGACAAATCAGAGCCAGTTCCATCCTCTGGAACAGTCCTGGGACTGGGACTAGCAGTCAGCTCATCGGTCGTCCGAACCCCAGCCAGTTTAAAATTCTGGTTTTAAACTCTCCTGTGAAGCCCACTATTTTCTCCTCTGTGCTATGTCCATATCCTGCCGCAGTATTCAGGAAACTGTGTATATACACTCCTTCTTTCTCCTCATCTTGCATCTGAATAAATGTAAGCTCATCCTGTATGTAAAAATAGCCTACTTAGTGTAAATCATGCTCAAGGTCTGTCAGTCTGATTGCTTCCTTTCAGACTTTGATCTGCATTCCCTTGCCTATGCTTTCTTGTTTCTCTTATTATCTATCTTCTCCTTTCCAACCTCACCTGCACTACCAGTGATAGCAGCCATGATACCTCATTTGTCTGCTTCTCCTGCAAATGCTTCTGGATTAAGCCTGTGCCAAACTCATATCCATGAAAATGTTTTACTTGAAAGGATTAATGAGGACACTGCCCAATCAAACCCTGTTCTTTAGATCCAGATATGTTTTGTAATAATGAGTCATTAAAGATATGAATGTGTTCCATTAACACAGTAGTTCTGAAACTTTTTAGATTCAAGGGACCCCTCCATTGCTTTTCCAAATTTAGTACTACCCCATCTCAGAAACTAATTTAACTTTTTTTTTTTTTACTACAAAAAATAATAGAGCAGTTCTTCTGTTGCAAAGAACTCAAAGACACCACAACAGGTAAGAATGCTCTGTCCGGCAGGATCACTGCTGCTACAGCCCCGGGAGTCCCCCAGCACCCCCGGTAAGGCTGCTGGGCCCAGCACAGTGCTGGCCTCAGCCTCCCCTACCCCACCTGGGGTAACCTGCCATTTATGGGCATGGGCATTTCCCAGAGGCAAGTACCTCAGGCATAAGATGTGCCGCTGCTACTTGTCCCCTGGGAACCAAATGCCCATGCTTGTCTGGATGTGGCCTCTGGGTTTATCTTATGAATCATGTAGGGGTTTGCACATCTAACAGTGAGTCTCACCCTGGCTAAGGATCACTATGTTAGTAGATAAGAGAATTTTTCATGCCTCTTGACTTGCTTCTCTGCTGAGGCTCCCAACAAGGCTGATAATTATTGGCACTGTAATAAGCCATTATTGTTCTTTCTTTTCTAGTGAAAATATCTTTACATTTAGAGGTGGACTGCGATCATTACCACCTGACTACTGTTACTGTGGTAGTGCATCTCTAATGTAATCTGGTCAGAGCTTATAAATTGATGATCTAGAAGTGAATAGTTCCCTATAACTTTATTAATGTTTGCTGGGAAGTATAAGGATTTGATTTTGTATGAAGACACTGCTTTTTTCCAAGAAAGTACATTTAAACGTCCTTTCCAGAATAAGTAAGTTTCACTAGCTGTACATAGGTGCAAGTGATGCTTTAACATATATAGTATAATACATTATGGAAATGATCTGGTATAGCAGAGTTTTCAGACCTTCACTTATCTTTCACCAGCCTTTAAACATAATGGATTCAAAAAGGAGAAATTGCTTGTAACAAGTAGGTAAATAGAAGCAATGAAGAGTTCATCTCAGATCCTCCCCTTTGTATTGAAAATGTTTAGTGTGTGTGTCAGTGATGTGACTGGTTAGGCCTCTAAGTCAACAGAAGAAGCTAAAGAAAGAATATATGGGTGATCTATACTCCTCCTCCCAATTACAGACATGTCTCTGATCCTTACACAGTTCTGTG